CAGGCTGGATGGGGGCTTACCTGGGGCCGAGGGTGCCCGGTGACAAGGCATTGCAGCACGAGGGTGTCACCCTCCCGGATGGTGTAGACGCGCTCACTGATGTTGTCTTCTTTCACCACACACGCCTGGCCCGCGTGGACAATCTGGGCCTGGGCTGGAGCTGGCAAAAAGCGGGAGGTTCAGACTAGAGGCACCAGGTCCAGAAGGAGTCTGACACTCTCCTGGGTATGTCAGAGAAAGGGGCCAGCCCAGACCTCCCCAGGTCATTCTTCAGAGGCCTGACCCCATCGAGCTCAAGAAAGAATCCTCCCAGAGCCCCCAGGCCAGAACCAGAGAGGCCAGAAACCCAGGAAAGGGGCAGCTCTTCCCCATCCCACCCCCCTTGCAGGAGATCTGTGCTCTTCGATGAGATGGTGAGGGTGAGGGGCTTTGTAACCCATACAGACCGGTTATCACTCGGTGAGCATCACTGTTTTAGCAGCCCCTGGAGGCTGCTGGTGCTCCACCCAGCTTCCTGCATCTGGCCGGTGGGTCCATCCCCATCTGCTCTGAGTGGTAGTTGCTGGGTGCACAGAGCTCACCTTCCCCAGGGAAGTGCCCTTAGCCAGTGGGAGCGACCTGGCCCAGAAACGCCTAGGAGGTCACCCTCTTCCCCAACATTCACATACAATGACTGACAAACATGGGTGCAAATGCCAAGGCTTCTTGCCTCAAGATGGGATGACTGTGGTGCTGTTCATACTCCAGGGCCCTCCTCAACCCCGGATCCCCAGGAACAGGCTGAGGCTAAGTCAGCTGAACCACATTTTTGCCCAGCTGCTTCCCTTGCCCCCTTAGTTTCTCCTGAGAGCATTTTACCCACCCCAACCACCTTAGAGAACTTAACCTAAGATTCCCCCAACCCCACAGACTACACATTCCCTTTACCCAAAGCCTTGTTAATTTTCCCTCATTGCTCCCTAAGCCGGTGCCAGCCTCTTCTCCAAGGAACAGAAGTTCTCCCAGGGGGCCTGGGAGTTCTCTAAAAACTGACTCCTCCCTGACCTCTCCCGGTGCCCAGGGCTGGGGGAACCCACAGGGAAAATGACTGAACTGGAAAAGTTCACAGTCCCTCCCTCAGTGTCAAGCCCCGCTGTGCTAAAAGCAAACCAGTCCCACCTCACAAATGTTAGGGCTCTGGGAAGGAGGGCAAGACCCCCCAAGTTCACCTATCTGCTCGCAGTTGACGGTGGAGAGAGTGGATGTGGGAGAGCTTATCAGGGTACAAGGGACACAGGGAGTGAACACAGAGTCCTTGCCCTAAAGAAGTGAGATAAAACCTGTACATAAAATGTGTAACTTCCTCCAGGAAGTGCCCCATGATTGACCTGCATGATCTTGTTTTTGTATGGGTCACTCCCCCAGCACAACAACAAAGCATCAATCTGTGTGTCTATCAGATTCGGGGTCCTTGTCTGTCTGCCTACCAGGCTGTGAAATCCTCCTTGATGAGCCCCTTCCCATGGCTGACTTCTCCCAGGCGTCCACACTCTTTCTGGAGGAGTACTGGCTAGCAGCAATGTGCCCAGACCCCCTGACCTTGGCATTTCAGTTTGTCCATCCCTCCACCCCCCACGCCCACTGAGTTTCGTTAGCATGGGCCAGCCTCCCACATTTTGCTCACCCTTGAAATGTCTGGAACTGTGTTTCTGACCCTGAGCCAACAGAGACCCCCACTGGGTCGCAGGCCCCCAAAGGGGCTCTGTCCCACTTAACCTCAGCCCCCCTCCGCACACCCCAGGACGGCACTGCCACAGCAGCATCTTCTGATTCCAAAGGCAACCAGGCCAGGGCCCTGTCAAGAGGCACCGTGACAATAATCCCTTCATTCAGGCTGTGGAACAACAAACGCTGGGGGCTGGCGCTGTCCGGGGTGCTGAAGAGGCTGTCAGGAACCACAAACAAGGACCAGCTCTGAAAGAGCAGCTTTGGGGAGACCCATAGCAAACTGGAGAACAGAAATGAACAGGAGTGTTTCCGAGTATGCTCAGTGCTAAGATGACTCTAAAGCAGGGGCATGTGACAAGGAACAGTGGGCAGAGGAGAGACCTGGTTTAGACAGATGGAAAGAGCTGATGATCTGGGATGCATTCCTGGCTCTGCTACCCAGTAGCTGGGTGACACTGGGCAAGTTACTTAATCTCTCTGAGCCTCAGCCTTTTCATTTGTAAAATGGGAACAATAATGCCTTCTCCCTGGGCTGGTTTGGAGGTTTAAGACAATATGTGTACAACATCTGGCCAAGCAGTATGTATGTGCTCTCTCACTAAATGACAGCTCCTGGGACGACCACACAGGAGTGAGAGATGGGGACAGNCTGGGACGACCATACAGGAGTGGGAGGTGGGGACAAGAGGGCCCCTCTGTGGCCCCCTCTACACTCCAGGGCTGGAAACACCCAACGCAGACTTTAACCTGTAGGGATGGTTCATGAATATGTTCAAGACTCCTGTGGAGGGCTGTGCAGGGCTTCAGAGGGCTTGGGGAAGAAGGGAGGGGGCAGCCCCTTCACTGAGCACCCCTCTTACCCTAACCCACACTTAGCTTTCAGCAAGTTATTCTGTGACTTTCAGAAAGTTACTTAAGCTTTAGTTTTCTCAGTTGTAAAATAGAGTTTTTGTGAGAAATAGATATGTAAACTCAGGTAAAGTGTTTACAACAGTGTCTGGTACACAGTGAGCAATCTAACCATGCCAGCCAGCACTTTATTTCAGAAGTGATCCTGCACTCCTCTCAGGAACCCACCTGCCCAGGACCTGAAGCCTGCATGACAAGACCCTGGCTTTTCTGCCACAGATGACAAGGGCTGGTGCATTCCCGGGGTCCACTGTATATTTGCAAGATCCTCGCCTCAGTCTGAGAGGCAGACAGGGCAAGTCCTAATTAGCCTCCTTTGGCAGAGAAGGAAACGGAGGCCTGGAGAGGGAAATGACCACGTCACTCACTGACACAGGACAGTAGCAGAGCTGGGACTCAAACCCAGGCCTTCCACCTGGTAACCTGGAACTCAGTTCACTGTCCCAGTCATCCTTGGACTCCCTCACCCCGCCACGTGTTGCCAAGGGAGCTTGTCATAGCACATTCCCAGGCCCGCGTGGCACTGCCAGCTCTCGCCTCTCCAGGTGTGGGCCTCGGAGTTTGTATTTGTAACAGGTTCCCGGGAATTTCGGAGCAATGCAGGATTTGATTGTCGCTGCTTGATATCACATTGGTGGACAGAAAACAGGAAAGGATTTTGGAACCAAGTGTGTTTCCCTGACTCTGGTGTATGAGACTTTTCCTATTTCACTCCGGGCTCTATCAATAAACCCCCATGAGAAAGGAAAACTGTGTCCCCCAACCTGTGTGCCATAAAGTGTTCATCGATAGTCCACTGCCAAATAACACTGCCTCTTCTCACCTCAGAGCCTCAGCACACAAGAGGATATTATTAAAGGCTCTGAAAAGTCCTGCAGTAAACACACCTGTTAACTTGGTTTAATCAAATGCTTTCCAAATGTATTTGACCATAAAGCCCTTTCTTCAGAGTATCTCTTAGCATTTTGAGAAACAGAAGTGTTGTATATAACAAGTGGGAAACTGCTGATTCGATGCTCAATACAAAACTAAGGCTGTGGAGTCAAGTAACACATAGCCCACCGCACACCACACGCCAGTCCCTTGGCCGAGGACATCAAGTAGCATGAGAGATGTCACCATGGGGCAACTTCATCATGAGGAAGGCTGAGGCTGAAATAGAGAGTCCCTAGCAGAGTGCTTCTCGCCAATTAGCTCACTCTTTTCTTTCCCCAAAGGCAGACACCTCAGATTGTAGGTGCGGGTGGGGACTGTGGCACCAGGCAGGCCCAGTGGGCAAGCCGCACTCTCAGGACTCACGTAACGGCTAGTTCCGACTTGCCCACTGGGCTTCCGAAGAGAATTCTCACTGGAACCTAGAAGGGGGAATTTCATCAAGGACTTCACCCCCATAAGAGAATTTCCAGCCAAGAGGCTGCTAGCCAAGCGGTAGGGGGTGCTGTCAAGTGCATGCGGGTGCAACAGTGCATGTAGAGCCAAACACGGCAGGCAGGCAGCAAAATGCATGGAAAACCTGAATTTAAAGCCCCATCAGCTTTCCTTCAGGTTTCCTCCCAACCCACGTTTGAAAAGGTCAGTCGTAGCCAAGCAGGGGCTGCTGTCTTGCTCCCCCCTCCTGACTCCTTCAGGGGAAGTGTGTCTGCAGGCTGGGGAAACTTCCAGACAGAGCAGAGTGGGGGGAGGGCAAGGAGTGAAAAGGAGAAGGGTGGCTGCGGACTTCCCCACCCGGAGCTGGCTCTCTCTGCAAGTACCACCACCCTCACTCCTCCCTCGAGCATTGCGGAGCGTCCTGGGCCAGGCACCATGGACTCAGGATCTGTGTTCTGGTCCCAGCTTCCATCGGACAGCCATCCAACAAATCCTGAGTGTGGGGGCTGAGCCTGGTGCTGGGGTACCGGGAGCTACGGCACCAGGCCCTGTCCTAGGGAAGCATATAGTCTGGAAGAGCTGGGATAAAGGCCTGCGGAGAGGCGGAAAGGAAGCAGAGAGGGACTGCTGTGGCTGGAGTCATGTCTCAGGTCTCCCCGCCATAACAGTAGCATAACAATATACACACAATATAACAATTTACTCTGTGCCAACATTGTGCTGAGTGTTTTATGTCTATTATCTTATTTATTGCTCGTAACAAGTCTATTATTGTTCCCATTTGTCAGATGAGGAAGCTGAGGCTCAGCAAGGTTAAATAAGTTGTCCGGACTCCCTGCTGGTGGGGAGCCTGTCTGACTCTCTGACTTTTGCGCTCAGTCCCATGCATTTCCAGTTCCCAAGTGTTCACACAGTGCTGAGGACACGCAGGACGGAGTCACTGGTGCGACGATCCCATGCAGCACCTTTCCAAACTGTCTGTCCCTCCCTTGCCCTCCCAGTTCCTGGTATGTACGTTTATCGATCCTTTTATGCCTGTAATGCAAATGGACACAATAATTTAATGTGGTTAACAGTGCTGAAATATTAACAGCCTTTTCTCTTTTAATTAGCTGCTCAGAGAATGGCGGCGGGGTCTGGGAGGAAGTTCTTGGGGCAGGCGCCTGAGGGGCTCCG